TCGCCATAAATCAAACGTTTCTTTTTTTCATCGTTATTCGATTAATCATTAATATGTACTCGTACGAACTTGTCGTCTCTTTAACTGCAAGTAAATCTCAATATTCAGTTAAACGATTTTATTATTATTATTATTATTATATTTTATCGTTCGCATGAAACCGTACCTACCGCCGTAACCGTAACGTGGCGTGGCGTGAGTAGGTACTTTAATTTTTGGTAATCAATTTGCGATTTCGGAGCATTCGGTCGTATTAATAATGTAAGCCCTGATGGTATAATATTATGTTAACCGATTTATAACCGCACAATACACCGCGGGAGAAATGGTCGACCAATGCTTGTCAATTAACATAAAGCCGAGTGTGTATACAATATACAGAGCACGCTGTTAATCACGATCCTGCGATTTTCCACAAAGATTACGAATTCCGAAAACCCTTGAAACATTTGGTACCGGAATCGTGAATTAAAATATTTCAAAATACTTGAATCTTTTAATGAAATAACTATAATTGAGAACAGGGAACCAGAACCTAAACCGAATAAAGCAAAAGATACTGTCTCTGTTGTAAAACGAGTAGGTACAAGATCGCATTAAAAAAGATGGAGTGCATTTTAGACGATTAAGATCTGAAAGTCAGACAAAAATGTTTTCCACAGTTCCACAATTTCCGTCACTTCCCCTCTTTTAAAAACATTTTTCTTTGTATGCAATTGACTTAAGCTTTTCTTCTTTGGGATAAAAGATTTATTACAATTATCACCGTTTGTCGTTTGAAATAAAGTGTCTAAAAAATCTCGTTATTATCAAATTGTTATAAAAATCATATTATCGGCCAGAGTATTATACCTATAGTGTCCTTTAATCTATGCAGGTGCTTAAAACACACGATGTAACACGACCGATTATTTTAAATGCTAATATTTCAGTACTGTCTCGTCCAGGGACGGATCCAGGGGGCCCTAAGGGCTTATGCCCCTAGACATATTATTTCTCCGATTTTTGTATAAGAATTGCATGAAAAAATAGTATACGTAATGTATTTTATTATATTTTAATTGTATTTGTGTTGTAAAAAAATTGTTGGCCCTCTCCCAGATATTTGCTCTAAATTCGTGCCTGGTCTCATCTGTGCACTTAATCTATTATCGCGTATATAATAATGGTACAGCGATTGTTATTATTAGATTGCGGATATAAATGCTCCAAAAAACAAGAAAAATGCCTTAAAAGATTCTCTAAAAATTATTTTAAATGTTGAAAAATAACCGTTTTGATTGGGTACATAAATTTACCGAACACAACAGTGCAAATAGTGCAATACGACTACATCACAACTCGATGAATAACAGTCGGTATCGTATTTATCCGGTACGGTCGATATAATATACGTTTTAAAAATAGAAATATGAATATTTTTCCTTTTAGGAAGAAATCAAAATAAATTTTATCGAAATGTTCTAAAAGTAGTAAAAAGTTCTTAAAGCGCAAAACGCAAGTTTCGTATTTTAACTCTTTGATACACGCGACGATTTGTGCGCTCGGTAAGCACTATCAATGCTTTAGGGCGTTCAGAAAAAAAAAAAAAAAAACGCGATCCGCATTGTTATCCGCATCACCCTGCAGTTGCCGTCACTCGTATTATTATTGTTCGAGAACCGGAAACCGTGTGCCGGCACGATATTCGCGGACAAATTATTGTCGATGTCGGGCGGACGAATGACGTGCGGCGAAAAACCGACGGAAAACCGAGCGTGTTCGACGAAACGCGTTGTACGGCGTTAAATTATCGTAATATTCGCGTCTGCGCACATTGACGCGGCGCGCGCGCCGGGCTCGCGGTCGGCCGGTCGACGGGTCTGGTTTGGCGCGTGTTAACACCGATGTTAACGTCGTGTCCGGAACACGTGTACCCAATACTTACGTGGGGGTATCCGACGGGCGCAGGTGTGAAAATTTAATGCCCCGGCAGGTACCCGTGTAAGCGTATACGCGCACTTTAATGGTCGTCGCCACCACCCTCGACGAAACCGATCCATAAGTCATCATCGTATTATTGTACACGGGCACACCGCAGCTACGATAACGTATGCACACACGCACACACACGCACACACATGTAATATAATAATATGTATATAATACACCTATAATATTATTACAGTCGAGTCGAGCCGAGGAGTCACTCGAGAATTTTATAGCGAGCGTGCGTGCGTACCGTATAAATACGCATACACGTATATAAAGTTAGCTGCGGTAGTGTTGTAACAGCGCATACTGTATATTATTATATATATTGTATATATATATATATACGCATAGTAAAGTAGTAGGAAGTAGGGAAACGAACGAGAGAAAAATGGGTTTTGTGTTGACTCGGAAACGTAAATCACCGTGTCACGACCGGTTTCGGATGATTTTATTTTTTCATCTTATTTATTTTGTTTTTTTTTTTTTTTCGTTGTTTTTTCAGCGTCTCCCCTCTCATCCTCGGTTCCGACCGGTATATTTATATTACAATATACAATAATACTGTATAGTCGCGGTACACGCGCGCGGGTACAATTATTATACACATGGACGACATTTCGAAATTTCATTTGGACCCGCGTTTATTACCGTACATTGTATTGCAATACCGAATAATCCGATTAGTACAGAAGGTATTCGGTACCCTGTATGCGCGACCCCCTATTATATTGTAAACGATTAACGCAGTAACGTTCGTTCTGTTCGGTATTGTTTGACTCGGAACGAAGCGAGGAATGTATTGGTTTTACTATGATGAGTGTGTGTGTGTTTTTTTGCGTGCAAATAACTTTTCAACCGAAAATCTCGGATCCAATCAAACACGTTGCAGAAACTTAATGTAGCACTTTTTATCTATTTGGTGCAATGAGACGGTCATTTTTTTGTTTTTCCGTGTAGTTTTTTCTTAATAAATAGAAAAAACTGTTTGTACAATTTTTGTCGATACTGGGTCGTCTTGGCAACAAGGGCAACAAGGCAAATGTACAATACTCTGCTCAGAATCATTTTTCGTCAGCAATGGATTAGTTTTATAAACAAATTATAACAAAAAATGCCCAATGATCTAGTATTTATTATTTATTAAAAAAAAAAAAAAAAATATATTTAAAATGATTATTTATCAATTGTTATAGCATACGAAATATTTTTTTACAACGATAAACTATTTGATATTCTTACAAAAATTACTACAAATTTTATTTACGACATAATAATGTGGTCATATGTTATATAGCTAATATTTTACCCATGTTTAAAAACATCGAACAGAACCAATGCGATTGCATCTGTCAGATCTCCGTGGAACACCCTGTGTGTACGTATAAAATGCGTCTAGATAAATACTGAAAAATTATACGGCTTGATAACTTGAAAATAAAAAAAATATCACATAAATATATATATAAAAAAAACCACCGTCGTCGTAATCGTTATATTATATTATTATAGCCGAACGAGACGTCGCGGCGGCGGACTCTAATGAATTTTTATCGCCGCCGTACAGACTTTAACGCCACTATATATCCGTCGCATTCGTTTTTTCTTTAACGATCCTCGCACACGGGATAACATTATATTAACATTGTCCCGTCACGGTCCCGGTCGTTTATTTATATACGAGAGTATTATATAGGTACCCGGTATTGAGGAAACGGAATAATATACGCGACTGTACGGGGTATCCGTATGATATATTTAAATACTATTGAAATCGTATCGATTTATAGCGCGCACCGCGACCGATTATTGTGCGATAAAATCCAATATCGCAGAGTCCCCGGGATACTCTGGCACTAACTGTTATACAAATTGTAGCAGCGTGACTCATAATATTCGCATTCGGCGTTCTCGGATTACCTAGATAATTATATTCACATATTTTTCATCTTATCTACAAGAATAATATCATGTTATCTTAATATTTATCTTGGATAGATATTTCATTTATCTATAGCTAAATTGTGTTGTTCTAAAACATTTGTTATATTTTTATTTTTATCATTAAGAAAAATTTAAATAACCGGAGTTATTGCCCAACCGAAAACGTTTTAATTCTTAATCGTATTCTTTTTTAAAACGATTAGTCATAGTAATAGCATTGAGATTATAAATATATCATATAAATGAGTTGATAAGTTGAGTTGTTTAAACTATGTTTACGTTGATTTCGAGTCTTTATCATTGACGGTTTCTTGTTAATTCTTAAGTAACTTATCAATTTGATTAACTGAATCCAATAGGTACCCGAGTTACTCGAAAATTTCCCAATCAAATGTTAAATTCTATTGAATACTTGTCGGTGTTGACACAGAGTTTAGATTTCTTAAAACGCATAAAAAATATTTCCATTAAAGCTACAACCATTTAACGCACATTATTTGCACTCACCAACACCAATAGTGACAGAAAGCCATAATCCCTCTCCCGTCAAATACGAAAGTCTATATTTAAATCATATTTTTCAGTATCAGTATAGGTGTCCAATATTTTAGTATTGGACGCCCATTAATTAATTATAAAAAATTAATAGGCATATATTTATCCACTATCCATCAAGTCACAGACAGTCACACGTTCGTCAGCAATCTTGTTAGTATCATCGTAAGTAAGCAATGTTTATTTATCAAACAAAATGTATTATTCCACACTCAAACTAAGAACACTGATAAAAAATTCAAATTTGAACATCACAGTGACGGCGGGATATACGAGTAGTAAATAAAATTTACCAATCACTAAGATCTAGAAACAGGTCAATTAAATTCGAAACTAATTCCACTAAACTGCTGCGCTAATTTATGAAATTCATAATATTACAGTCTATACTTCTATGTCTCGTAATTTTGTCTTTGCTTATCTTCAAATTATTAATAAATAATTGAATAAATTTAGTCTTATTGCATAGAACACAAGGATGTATAACCCTATAATCTATTCACGGTCGATTTGTTCAATTTGTAGAAATAATGTTAAAATTATTCAAACGACTGTTCGACGTGCAGAGCAAAGTCACGGACAACGATAATTGTGAAGCCACGAAAAATGATGATCGATTGTTATCGTTTGTCGATCGTCATTTAATGCAGACAGAGAAATCCTTTGCAGCTATCGGTAAGGCCAAGGCGGATATGCACGACGATTTGAATAGACTCACACAGAAAGTGTCGCGGTTGGAGGAACTGTTAGACAAGTTGGAAGCCACAAACGTGAGGCTAGCGGCCAAAAACCGCATGCTGGTGGCTAAAAAACACGATCTGGTGGGGGTGGCGGCCGAACACGATAGACTGTCCGCCTGTTTGGAGCGAGAGAAAATCGAAACGGACGAGATTAAAACCGCGCTGTCGACGGCCATTGCCACGATACACCGTGTATCAGTAGAACATTCTAGTTAGGTGTTCAATATAATGAATTGTGTCATTATTTCGATGATTTGTCTTTTAATATAAAATATTGTCAACTAAATAGATAGTAAAGGTACTGTCGTCCAAAGTACGTCCTGATTACAAGATGACCCAAAAATCAAAACAAAATTATACTGGAAATTGCAAGTTTTTCCGATTTATAAAGAAAACTATTAGAAAAATTATCCGCCCCCTTCCAAATTAATAAATTTCATAAAAATGATGCGTTTTTATAAAATTTTTGGTCGAAGCAAAATTTCTAATAGAGAAATTGTTTACAGAAACAAAAAGAACATCATAGTAAAACCTATGCATTGTTCACTTCAGAATCTAAAATTAGGAAACAGTAAAATAAAAAATGTATTTCCTTTTTTCTCCCATTAATAATTATTATAGAGTTTACCTTTATTGTAATATTATCCCCGATATATTTTACCAAATACCAAACGAATTAAAAAGCTACTTGATATTTAGAATTTTGGTTCATCGAGCAACATTTTTAAATGATGACTCTTTCTACACATATGATAACGGCTGCATGCAGTCATTATCTATCAAACAACAAAGTTATAGTAAAATCGATTTGACCACGTTTGTAAACGAAATTATAAATAAACGATTACTTAAACAATCTTATAGCGTTTACTACGATATAATTGTGTTATTATCAAAGTAAATCAATGGACATTGATCAGTATACGGTAATTCCGTAACTCGATAGTAACGTCCAGAGTCCGGAGTTTTTTTGGACAGAACTCAAAAACTCGTTAACACCGGATGTCCCGAATTTTCTGTTATCCGGACGCGTAATTGCATTTCGGCTCGGTGAACTTTCGGAATCTCGAATTCGGATTCAATAGTGATATGATATAATAATTAATGATTATTGCGGATAACACGAATATCGTCATCGCCCGTTCGCACACAAACGGAAATGACTGTACAAAATTACTACTGCAGGACTCGCGAAATAAAGCGTGAAACCAGATTTTCTCTATATTATAATATGATATTATTATATTATGCGCCCTCCGGTCACCTCGTGCGAGAGAAAGCCAACGGGCGAAACAACCGTCTAATGACACATAAATGAATTTGTTTAAGTTCCTAAAATGGTCATGATGTGTAAAACCCGCCGAGGTCACCGTAGGGTAAGTTGCATTATGTTATATGCGAGTACGATAATGGCGGCGGCGGGGAAACGGATATGTATATATTATAGATTTACCGCTATAGTTGTCATTGAACGCGGATATCGGTCGATATAATAATTACATTTTACTATATATATATATTTTTTTTTTAATTTCGATGAAAGCGAAAAAAAAGCCATTATTTTTACCAAGAAGTGTTTTCACTCGGAAAACACGCTTTTAAGTTTGGTAAACAAGCTCAGATTTTTTCACGCGATTCCTCAAAAGATTTGGAATTTCCGCTTGATGGTGGGTACTTTACTTGAATTATTTTTCGGAATTTTTAACGGACCACCCCTTCCCAGATCTTTTAGATTCTGAGCGAAGTGAGGATTGTATATTGATTTACGGTGGACAAATTTCAGCCACACTTGTTGCAAAAATCTAGTGTCTCAGCCCGTTCGCTCGCCCATGAGTTTGTTGCATTCATGATTTAAACTCATTTTCCCTTAAGTTTACGGATAACGAGGAGGGAAATAAAAGTAGTTACCAGGTATTTGCGATATCGATACATATAATACATCGAATCTTGAATATTACCTTTCCGATATATATCATTGTCCACTATCACCATTGAAACCTATTTCATCCATTTCCGGTCTACGATCTAACGGTCTCGTAAACGTATAAAATCGTGTGAAATTTTTTCTTTATAATTTTATTTTCCCCGCGGGTCGAACGAAACTGACTGACAATTATCATTTAAGTATGTTATCAAAATATAAATAAAACCAAATCCAAGTCGCTAAGCCTGTCACTCCAATACGGCTATAAATTATTTTTGTTATCGATTTAATATTTTAATTTTTATCATTTATTATGTTAAAACGATAAGTTATAACGTGATAATCACGTCGTTGTTAACTAGATTAGAGTAGTATATAATTTAATAATTATATTTATAATCAACTATTATTATGCTATGATATTTACCATACAAAAAAAAAGATACGGACATACTTGGCACCATATGTGGGTCACTTCACTGTTATAAATGAGAAGTTGGGAAGGTAGGATATAGAGGGGAATTTAATGTATATGTGCACGCATTAATCTTTGATCGATAAATTTTGGCTAACGAAAAACGATTTTTCGTTCGTTTTTTATCAGGTTTTCCCCGTTTTTTTTTTTATGAAAAACCCTGGAAAGCCATAAAATGATCTTCTCAAAGTACCATCCCAGTCAGATTTCATTTCAGAAAAAGTGCTATATTTAAAAACCGGAGCAACATTTCTGGTTAAAAAGTTGTTCATAAAAAAAAAAAATAATAAACTTAATTGTCAAACCAATGTTTAAAACATACATATATTATAGACATACATTTTTCAAAATTAAAACCATGTTTCAAAAAAAGAAAAAAATTGAAACGGTTTTTTTTTTTTACCACCCTGATAATATGTATATGAAGCGACGTAATGCTATGACGGCCGTTCGTTTATAATATTATAACTCACCGTGACCGGACGCGCACAACGCCGTAAAATATTAGGTACGATGGCCGGCGTCTGATTAATCGAATTGGCTTTCGACCAAGTCGGCGTTCGCGCGCGAGCCCTAGACGATGTTGTGCGTGCATACAGGGCGGTCGATGACGTTCAAAGGCGTATGCGTGTAACCACGATGTCGGTTGTTATTCCACGGGTTCGCCGCAGTCGTTGTCCAAACCGGTTTGTATAAGTAAACGATCCCGTGCCGTTGTGTAGACCCAATGTCGGTCCCTGGAGCATTTTTTTTTTTGTAAAAAATATAATGATTCGGGAGAAGGTGCATAGAAATTTAGAAAAATAGATTAATAATATTGTTGGTCTACCAAATATTAAATAACGACGGTATCAGTGGCGTTTTCAGGGCCGGTTTTAGGCGTAGCCTTAGGCCTACGCTTAATTGTTTCCGAATATTTACGTATAACACTGTGTATAATTCTATTTGCACGATCAAATCCTATCATTTGTTTTGTAAGTAGTATAAAATAGTATCAGGGGCAGATTCAACGCTCAATTAGAGAGGGACGGGGGTAAAAATGCAAACATAGTAAAGTAAATTAAAAGACCTTATGGACCAAAACATACTACTCTGCGGTTCGGTTCATTTTTTAATTTTTTAGAAACTGATTTTTTGTGTTTCCAGTTGAATCCTCGATTCAATATCGAGCGCACTCGTTTATCATCGTGCTTGTCATATTTTTTTGTTTTTTTTTCAGCATATATAATTCATTTCTCAACGGCTATTATAACTCGTGTAGGTAACGTATATCGGTTACGAGAAATATAATATAATATTGTGTAGATTTATTTTCGCCCGTGCACCATCGGTTTTTGGCAAACCGAACGTACTATAATAACTCGTAGGTATATTATTCTGCACGGTAAAATATAACGTGGATATCGTTTTATTCAATTTACTATATTTTAAAATATCACCATTCACCGCTATCCATTGTATTGTTTCGATTGCGCATACTATTTTATGTACTGTGTTATATGAGAAAAGTTCTCCGTTCATCGGCGGGCGAAATAATAAAACGAGTATGGAACCGTAGTTTTTATAATAATATTCACTGTTCGACGTTATAAATACGAACGGGACAGTTTCCCGATGTATATGTATATAGAAACGCATTTCGGGTTTTTATTTGAAAATAATACGAAATGTTTTTTTATGAACATCGATGTCCATGAAATTGGCCCCCGCCCACATGGTAAGGTTGACTCCGAACCAATTCAAACATTTAAAAACATTTGTAGTTGCTCATTGTAACCGATATAAAACAATTTTCAATCTAACGGTTTTCGAGAAAACTATACTTTAATACCGGAGGACCAACTTCACGTAACTCCACTAACGAGGAACCCCGAGTCACCGAAAAACACCGTAACTTAATATTGAATACATTTCACACGGCTGGGTTTTAAGATAAAATGTACACATTTATCCCACTGATATTATAACTGGGATGGAGAGTCATAATCTTTTAAGATATGGTAAAATGGCAGATGTTTTTTTTTAAATTCTGAGTGTAGCGAAGAATGTATTGGTTTTATTTAGATGTTAAATTATTATTATTTTTTTTGTTTTATTCTGTGTACCGAAATTCTTCCAGAAATCTTGCTCAGATATATACGCGCGGCACTATTTCTGAAAGGAAATGTTGTTCACATGGTACCTTTAAGAGGTCATTTTTTGATTTTCCAAGCGGTTTTCATACTATCTGGGAAAAATCAGGATAAAACGTAAGAAAAACGGGAGATTCATGGAAATAATGTTTTTATTATTTTTCAATTTTGTAATTTGTTGTAATTCAGTTAAAAATATTGGTAGAGACTTGAAATTTATAAATAAAACTTATGTTTGCCTTTTCTAGGCATAGTAAAATTTTCGAAATATTTGGGCCATTTTTAAGCTTTTTATAAACATTTTAATATTTTTATTGAAATTCAGTTAAAAATATTCGTATTAACTCTATGGACTTAAAATTCGGACAGACAATTTATATCTGTTTTTTCTAGACGTGGAAAAATTTTCAAAAAATTTAAGCCATTTCAATTTTAAGAATTTTGTGTGTCATTTTTATTCGGCACGTAATGTGTGGTAAAATTGTTAGACTTAACAAAAATGCTTCAAAATTTAAGGAAATCTGACTAAAATGGTACTTTAGAAAGATTATTTTTCTATTTTTTCAAAGAGTTTTTCTGCCGGGAAAAATCGGGAAAAAACATGGGAAAACCGGGAAAAACACAGGAAACAGTTATCCACAATTGTATATTTGTTATTTTTGGGGGGAAAACCACTACCTAACTT